TCCAAGCCAATAGCGCGAACCCGCCTGTGGAAGCGTCTGTCCTAGACCAAGCTCTGTGGCCCAGAGAGACGGTTCTACTTGCAGCAGGGCTAGAGAACTGACGCCCCGATGGGCTGCTGCGGAGGTGACAATGACGGCGCCGAAGAAAAGGTATTGGCACCTACTGAGCTGCTATTTCTGTGGGCTGGGAAGTTTTCAATGCATGTGCACCCGATAGGCATGCAGCCGCCGGCAGATGGGAACGCGGTGTGGGTCAGTTGGGCGGTCCAGAGCGCGGGGATGGCCCAGCGCTGCAGTTAACTGGCAGAAGCACTTCTCGGAAGAGCTTGTGAACAATTTTTCCCTGCTGGTATGTGCGCAGAATGAGCTGAAGGCTTATTTGGCTGCAGCGCATCTGCGGCATCGTGTTGCTGTGGTATTTCGAGGCACCAAATTTAGGGGCTGGAATTGGCGAGATGGAAGGTTATTGAATTCAAACTCTGAAATATTGTTTTTCATTCCCCTGCGTTCCAGCACTTTTTTCAACTGGCCGTTCCAGCGTATGGCCAAAGTTGTGGCGTTGCGTTCACTTCGGAGTGCGCTGATCTGAAAGTGCAGCTATTTTGACGCAATCCCGTTTGTGCCAAATGGAATGGACGTAAATGAAAGGTAGTTTAGATGCGACGAAAGCCGATTGCAGTAGCCGCATTTCCATCAAGGACATCACGATAAATTTTGCAAATCACTGATTTATGAATAGATCCTCTTAACTGTTTTCAAGATGCAGTTGTGTAATTTGCATTCCATGCCCTACAAGCTTGCAGTGTGTTGGGGTATCTGTGGTTTGGGCACAAATCACTTGTGACAAGTGGCCGCAATGTCCGCATGTATTAATACACGATGCATTTCTATCATGCAAGTCGGATGGTACGGGGAGCGTGCAATAATGTCTATCCATGGCAGCCGTAAAACCAATTACGGCAAACGTTCATTGAATTCGCTGTCTTGTTTCGACAATAGGGAGTCGCGGAGAAGAGAAGTTGCACAGATATCCTGTGGCTCATCGTATTTCTGCTGTTTTGGATTGGCATGTTCATCGTTTTCGGAACAGCGGTATCCAAAGGTGGGTTTACAGTCAACCGTGCCTATTCTCTGTTTCAAGGATTTGCGTTCAACTGCTGTATGGCCATTACAGTCATTCCATCATGCAACCCTCATTGCATTGAGTGTACGTGACGCACAATTTCTCTTTTACAGGCTCTGTGGCACTTGTTCATCCACTGTTGCGGTTTTCATCCACATTTTCAATTTCAGGCGGTAAATGCGCCATTTAAGACTGCTGTGAGTAATATGTCTGTCATCTATATGTTTTGAAATACTTGCAGATACCAGTTGTTGTAACCTGATTTGCACAGAAGGATTTCAATGATTTTGTCATTTATGAAGCAGCTACCCGCAATTCCAAACGTATCGCCTATAAATTCGCTGTGATGCAGATATTTCCATTAGCATATCCGCATGGCACCATTGAAGCTTGCATTGAATGTACCATATCCTACCTAAGTCGCACATCTTGGGGAAGTTCTCGCACATTGCAAACGGTCATGCATACCCGCGCGGTACCAAATAATCAAATGGTTATATTTGTGCAATTTCCTTGAGGAGAATTGCACATAGAAATTTCCTATAATTCGCATCCCATTGGAACAACGCCATTGCATATGAGCTCCGCATTTCCAAGCTGCCCGTCCCCGGCAGGAAATATGAACCGTCTAGTGTACGGCTACGATTCTTCTGGGTTCCTTTGCGGCACCAAAAATGACTTTCAAGACGGCATAGAGGGGCCGGACCTCTCCAAACGCAAGAAGCTTTACTACCTGAATGCCCTGGACCTTTTAAACCCTAGCAGCATATCCTCCGCCAAGAGCATATGCGTCGAGAAATGCCCCACCGAGACGGACGAGTGCGCCCCGGGAGAGATATGCACCGATGCCAACCAGTACAGGTGCGAAGGCAGATCCTCGATTGGCATATGTCGTATCCATGTGTAAGTCAATGGCACTAGGAAAATGAGGGCAAAATAACACGTGTTGAAACGTGTACAAAGCTTGCGGGTTTGTGTTGTTTTTTTGTTCTGAGCGTGCAGAGCTTTGATGAAATGTGTTTTATGCGTGTTCGCCAAAGTGTTAAGTGGCCCTTTTTTCCCTAGTGTGGACTGGCAGATTTCAATGACGCGACCACCCTTTAATCGTCCACGAGCAATCATCCATCATTTGAACAATCACCCTGTCATTCGTTCTGTCGATGATTCAACCGCTGAGCACGCCATCAATGCATTTGTCAATCATCCAGCCTACAGCAACCAAGTCGCCTACAACCAGCTATAATTAAGGGTAAATTTAGGGCAGACGTTTCGAAGGGAAATTATTGAAAGCGCAGCGACGGCATACCCGCAATTTCACTTTGGCAAGATGTTATGGCTTGTACGCAACCATAAGACAAGGCTTTTTCCACCTGATTGGACGCATTGTAAGGGCATATATCGCCATTTGGCTGCGGCGCGCAACCGCTGTGGTTTTCCCACTGATGAGAGACATCGCGGGGCGAACCAGGCCATATTGGCATCATATCACCTGGATTCTACTTGTAAATGCGGATCGATCAAACGCATGAAATGGGTCTCACTTATAACTAATGCGCCCCACCTGGCTTTAAAACCCTGCTGAATTCATGTGTATTTTTCAGGTGTCCGTACTACAGGATCGCAGAGGAGGGCTTGTACTCGAATCTAGATGCGGGCGTCGGCGTGTGGGACACTCAGTACTATGGAAACCTTTCCGAAGCAGCGGGCGCAGACTCGGGCGCTTGTGGCAGCTACGTGTCGGTGCGTTCACTACAATGGCATGAGTGTTTTATATAAATTTCGCAATATTTTGTGCCGTTCTGATTTACGGACAATGCTGAAAATGTTGCCTCCGCACTGGGCAGATGGAGCCTTGCCCTGTGCGTAATGCTTCATTGCGGAGGTAATCGAGCCATCGCAGCCGCGTTTAAGCAGATTTCTAGAACTTCGCCGAAAAGGATGCGGGGTACATGTTTCGTCCTTGGAAATTTAAGGTATCAATGGGTGCTGAAAGGATTGCAAATTTTCATGCTTCACAGGGACTTCCCAGCTCTGTCACTGATCCCTTTGATTTCGGATCTGGAGCGACTGCGTGCGGCAGATACTACCAAGTAAGGAGCCTGTACCCGGGACGAGGTCCCTGCTATCCTGTGTGGACGCCAACTGTGGACTATTTCAACAGGTGAGACGTCGTGCCTGGCTTAGCAAAACACGAAACAAAGTTAGCAGCCGGCAAAATACGCTCAAGGTCGATCGAAACAGCAAGTTTTGGTACTTGAACATGGATCTCGAGCATTTGCAGGGATGTAGATCGGTCATGCAGACAGCCAAATGAAACATGTATGCGGCAAGATTAGTTTCATTTAATTCCACTTTGTTGTACTAGTTCCAGGCATCTTTTCATGTGGCGACATGTGCCGCTGTTTGCTCTTCAGAGGCGCCCAGCTGACAGCGCGACGGCCTGGATGAACATGATTGAGCTCGAATTTTCTCAAGTAGCCCTTGGAAGCTGATCAGAATCTTGAAGGAGATTGTCGTGCGTCCATGCAACGTAGGTGTTTTCCAAAGTTCAATGCCACTCTTCTCGCCGACACGCTAAGCATCGGCGGCGACAGCAACGTGGATTTCAGCAGCAAGGTGTCGTCTCTGAAGGACAATTTTGGCGGATCTGGGGAGCGCCTGCAGCGATACGTTGGCGACATATCCAAGGGATGGCTCATCATTGTGGTCTCGGGCCTTGTCATGGGCATCCTCTTGTCAATGGTGCGGCGGAGAATTGAAGGCGGCTAGCAGATATTGCGAGGAGATATTTGTACTAAAATTCCTGTTTCATTCCATCCTTTCTCGTGCACATGCTGAACGACAGGTCAACCATGTTTGGGAAGTTTATGTCATGTAGGACACTACCATCAGTAGGAGATCACTCGCTCCGAAGCATCTGTTTTGCTCTCCTCCCAGTCCATCTGGGATGAGCGCCGCAGACTTCTCTTTTTAAAGACCGAATTGTCATTAAGTGGATTGCAAAACGTGCACACATGGTTGAGCTTACAGCACGCTTGTGGTGGCAAGCAAAATGCCTACTGATCCTTCCCAATACATATACAAGAAATATTGAAAGCTCTGCATTTCGGATTGAGTTCCTGTCCATGTCACTAAAAAAAGGGCCAAATAACACTTGTTTCGAACATATAGATATGCATTTCATAAGCGCTTTGCATGAAAAGTTGTAAATAACCCAAACCCGTAAATTTTGTACACGTTTGAGCACGTGTTATTTGGCCCTTTTTGCCCTTGTGTGTTGTGCACATGCCGTGAAATACCAATTTACCCATTCAGTTTGAATATCAAAATAATGTATGTACCTCATACTGCAAGTTTTTAAATATGTATGGCAACACGCAAATGTGGCTCCATACTATACCATTGATATTTGTGTATATTCAGTGAAAACCATGCACGCATTGCAACAAAAGCCCATGTTGATCCAACTTGCGCTGTGTGGTGAAAATTTGGGTGCCCGCACTTTTGAGTTTATGAGGGAAAAGAAGATCTATTTTGTTGAAAAGTACTTTGCGCACATGTGTTCCAACAGAGCTCAAAAGTTCCCTGGAATTTCTGTAACGATTTATTGTGTATACCTTTTAAACACATTTGTACATGAGCCACAGCATAGCGCCCGTGAATCTGCAATATGACGCACACCATACCTCTCATGCAGTCCGCGTGATGCACATTTCCAAATGCAACAGCCACAAACGTCGATTCCTAAGGTAGATCGATCGCAAGTTTCTTAGTACCTAAATTTCGACCTCGCGGTGGAGTACGAGCGGAATCTGAATTGTTTTCCTCTCCTCTGTGCCAGATTTGGATGACCATACTGAGATACTGTGCCGGCGTCATGGCGTGGATGACCGTGGCCTTTGTCAACATCCTTGTTATAGTTGTGACGCTTCTCGCGTACGAGAGGTCCGGACTTCTGGGGGAGGCTGGAGAACTGGGGGCGGTAAGTGAGAAATCTTGCACAGCGGACTTTCCGTGGCTCAGCGTTCGACTAAGCAAATGCATCAAATGAAAGCCAATCCATGGACGTCTATTCACAGTTTTTTCGGGGTAAGAGCGCAACATAAGTTGTGCTACTGACTGCCATATTAATACGATATTGATATGCAGCCACCAGTTGGGATATTATTAATCGTGCGAGCTCTGAATGAAAATTTGTACCTATGCTTGTGATCGTGAGAACTTCACGACCTACGATAATAAGACGAACGACCTCATGCGACTGTAAATATTGGGCATGTCTTTGCAGACAATTGCAGAGCAAATTCCAGAGGACCAGGATCCCACCGACGGCGATCGGAAGCTGTGGATGTCGGCGGCCTACGTGTTGACCGCCTTGGCCGTGCTGCTGCTCCTCTTCACAATTATCATGATACCAAGAATAAGAATTGCTGTTGCCACTATCAAGGTACATCGCGGTGCACTCGCACAAAGTGTCGAATGCTCCTTCCCTTCCTCGCTGCGCCAATTTGCTGCATTTGCTTTTTAATCTACGTACACATCAAAATCTCTAAATACAGTGCGCCCTTTCTACTTTGCAAGCACGAACAGCCACACTTTCGTCTCGCAATTCAGCGCGCGTCACACACAGCCGATACTTCGCTACATGGGTCCCCGGCAATGGCACACACTGTGCACGGACGTTCTGCACAAATTAAGTCCTGAACCCCGCTTTCTGTTATCCCTTCTTCCCTTGCACTCTAAAAACACCGTACTGCCTAAATGTAGACTGCGAAAGGCCGCTTCATGGCTTCCTAACAACGCGTTGAGCTGGAGGTAGACAAGCTGCGAAACCATACAATTAGTTTCAATCAATCAATTAATTTGGCTGACTAACTTATTGAGTGAGTCCTCAGCAATGCGCATCTTGCGAGAACGTGATGGAAGTAAACGAAGAGCACTTCCCTGCCAGCGACTAAAATTTTGCCGTTAAGAGAAATTTCTGCATTTGTCATGTAGGGAAAGTCCTGCCTCAATTCAATCAGTTCAATCAGAATCCATTCTCTTGGGCACGTGTTCCTTCACCGCTTCCACCGCAGCTGTTGCAAGACTTGCACTACGGCAAAAAAATTAAAAAATTTGCAGCAATATGCAACATTGTGCAATACATCACCTTCCCAAAAGGGGTGCTGTGTGCTCACCGTGCTGCGCAGCGCAAGTCCCACCTGATACAATGGAGGGGGCATCCTCGAGCCCACATCGTGCCTGGGATTGCGTCCATCTTGGTGCAATCTCAAGTGTGGTGTCGTGGGGCGAATGATGTACATCTGCGACTGAAATAAAAATAAAGAAAAACTGAAACTTCAAAATAAAGTGCGATTGCAAAGAAGTTTTGATTCTGCCGCCTTAACTTGAATTATGCGCAGGTCGCCAGCCAGGCCATCGCCACCATGCCCAGCATCCTCCTCTTCCCCATTTTCCCATTCATCGTTGAAGTCCTCCTCGTCCTGTACTTTGTGTTCGTCTCGGCCCTGCTGTACAGCGCCGGGGATTTGGTGCCCAAGTTCAAGGGTGCCTCCTCGGAGACAGACGTCGGCTCCCTGCTGAGCGCGGACGGAAGCGTCCCCTCCGGCTTCGGCGTGGCTTCCTCGGCCGATGACTCACCGCCGGCGGTGGCCAATGTGACGCGCCTCGAGTGCGCCACGGACCCGGATTGCTACTACGGCGTGGAGTGGGACAACGCGCTTAAGTACATGTTCCTGTACCACCTCTTCGGGCTGCTGTGGACCAATCAGTTCATAGTGGGGTTCGGTTACGTAAGCATAGCCGGGGCGGTTGCAAATTTCTACTGGAACCGCGGGGACGTGAGCGCCATGCCAGCCAGGCCCGTCACTGCGTCGGTGAAACGGACGCTCTTCTACCACCTGGGTAGGTATGGAGGAGGTCCAAGGGGCCCGGACCTGCCAAGGGCATGGGGACTGGGCATCAGGACATTCGAACTTCAGAGGGGGAATTGCACAAAAATGCAGCCGCAGCTGTTGCACATCAAGGTGGAAGCGGGAAGGATTAGTTTCAAGACTTGTCAGCGTTGATGCATGAGCGTTGCTGCAACGCTGTCTGCCGGTGCATCAGTGACACAGAGTTTGACAGGCTGCCGCTGGCGCGTCAAGCGCCCCAGGTTTCCCAGGCTGCTGTATGAGCAGAAATGCTGAGGTGGACTGAACTTTCGCTCCGCAGGGTCCATCGCCTTCGGCGCCTTCCTGGTGGCCGTCATACAGTTCATTCGCTTCATCGTGGAGGTCATCAACCACAAGACGAAAAAGATGCAGCAGGAAAACGCGGCTATCAAGTACATCATGAGATGCGTGCGCTGCTGCCTGTGGTGCCTTGAGAAGATAATGAAGTTCATAAACCGAAACACGTACATCATGGTGGCTGTGAAGGGGACGTCCTACTGCCGGTCGGCGGGACGCGCCGTGTCCCTGATCATTACGGTGGGGCGACAGCGTGCTTGATCTTTCCTTAATTTGTCAATTCAACTCCGATGCTGTCAGCGATCGCCTTTTGCATTTTTCCCTGCAAATTTCCTGTCGGCCTGAATGCTTGTGAGGCAATTTCGAGATGGGTGAAGTGGCAACATGCATAACTGTTTGATATTTGCTGCAATGGGAATGCGTTTCGGCACGCGAGCCACCGGCGTTCGATGCTAATTCGGAGGGCGGTGTGCTCCTGGCGCCACAACCACATTCGGGACTGGGTGTTCTTTAATTACGGAAGGCGTTAGCTATCCTCCTTAGGAATTTATATAAATGTCTAAGGAAGACGGCCAACACCTTTATTGGACGACCGGGGTCTTGCTGCATGGCGCACATTCCAGAAAATTTTAGCATCAAGGCAAGATGGTCCCTTCAGCTCCCCAGTTCCCGAGAAACCCAGTGTCCACGATTTGTCCCTTGACTGTCAAGAGCCCCATTCTCCGGCATCCGCAGCGGGCGTTTGCATGCTCGAACTTGAGTGCTGACAGCCTGCGTAGATCCAAACCTGATCGCCGGGGTACCCTCGTCGCAGAACGCCCTCCGCCTGGCGGCCGTGAACACGGTGGGCGACGCCGTCATATGGCTCGCCAAGATCACCGTCACGGCGGCCTGCGGCGTGACCGCCTTCCTCATGGCCGACCTGGACCTGTATACCAACGAGGAGAAGCACCCGGACACCTTCCTGTCCAGCCCCATCTTCCCCGTGCTGGTGTCCCTGCTGGTGGGCTACGTCGTGGCGGACCTGTTCTTCGGGGTTTACGAGATGACCGTGGACACCATCCTCCTCTCCTTCTGCGAGGACTGCGAGTCGAACGGCGGCAACCCCAAGTTCGCGCCGCCGCTGCTCCTGGAAGCCATAGGCAAGTCGAGGGAGAGGCAGGAAGCCAAGGGGAAGGAGGTCGCCGAGACCTGACGACGCCCATCTCTCAGCTGATGAGTAAATTTTGACATCCACCCGACAAGCGGAGGGGGCGCCACTGCTGCACGCGGGTCTTTGGGTGGTGCCTCCGCCTCCCAGCGACGTGGGACGGGCGCCTTCGCCTTGGCATTGGGGACACCAGTAGAAGGAAATTTTTGACGTCTTTGTTTACAATGCGTTCCGGGCTGTCTTTTCGATACCAGATTGCTGGCGTCTCATGTGGGATAAGGGGCCTTGGCGCCTTATAGTTGTTTGCTGCAGCTGGCTGCCGGGGGGCTCCAGAGGTGTCGCGGAGGTTTTGACAGGGAATTACGGTGCGCCAGGGACCGCACATGAGCCGTGAGAATGGATCCGTGGAAGGCAATCAGCCATCCATCGTCGAGCGCCACTGGCCGGGGTCGCCGTCTGTTTGTTGGCGACTCGTTGCAACAAATTTTGTGGCTGACGAATGATAGCGCACCGCAGGTGTTCTCGCAGAAGCAGGTGCCCATTGGGAACTGCACAGCGTGGGCTCACTGTTCGCAGGGTGCCGGGCTTGATGAGCTCCCTGCTCGCAACTGCGCTAGATATTGTGCCGGGTCGGGCCAGTGTTCGGGGGTCAACAGCACATGGCTATTTCTCGGCCTCAAAGTGATGTGGTCGCGTTGCTTCGCTCTCGATCAGCCCCTCTCCCCATTCGTGGTTGGCAGCGCTGCACAGTGCCCTGCATAGCATAGTCATCATCGTTGCCATTGGTGTTGCTGCTATTACTCAGTCCCCATTGTCTCCATTTCTGGCACTAACACTGTTAGTACAACTAGCTTTGTTGCAGCAACAAGGGACCAAGCTATATTTGCAGCAGACCTGGAACTCAGGCGACACCAACGCCACAGTAAAACGGGAGAAACAAATCGGTGTTCAATGGTCACTTGTGCCACCGTTCTCGCCCAGATGACCCCAGCAGGGCAACTATTTCTGTTTGTCCAGCTGACCACCCAGGTGCGAAGCAGGGCAACCAAGTTTTCTGCATCTCAAACGTGTGACCACCAATGCATAAAAGTAATTCGCACAGAGCGTTCCCCAACCCAAACTGAAGTGGAACCAATGCTACCCGGCTCGTTCTATCCAAACGAGTGAGCGTCATAAGAGCAGTGGATCAGCAAAACCTAACACGAGTCCCTACATCCCTCCACCCTGTTGCCTGAGGTTGCCTGTGGCTGGTGCCTCCCTGCCTTCTCAGCAGGCACGATGACCCCGCTTCACTGTTGTAGTTTCGCTGCTTCGTCCTCGGCGTATGAGACCAGTGCTGCCCCGCCTAATGCAGCGATGGTGAAGGCCTGCAGGGGGTGCCACAGCAACAAGGGGATTTGTTCGCTGCCATGCTGAAGTGGCACTGACGGTTGCATTGACATGGGGGAAGCATGGCAGGATTCCCAACCATCAGGCAAGGCATTCCCTGTCACCTTTTTCGTGCCACAAGCATTATGCAAACGACTCCTAAGTGTTCCAGCTAATGTATGCAACGAAGTGTGGCAACAACAGCGGCAACAATAAAGGCATTGGCATGAGTTCCGTACACCGGCAACATGGCAGCCATCAACGCAGTGCTGATTGCTCATCAGTGCCACCACACTGGAACCCCAGAGCATAAAATAGATAAAAGCATCAGTCTCATCACGAATTCCATTGCCTTGTCTTATATAAAAATATAAACATATCTAATTTCTACTTCCTCCATCCCAAAATAGATTGCAATTATGATCTATGGCCTTGGGAAACCCATTAAAACATCTTAGACTTTTACTAAAATTTAAAAAATGTTTCAATTTATACCTAGTTTGTGCTACAAATTTTTGAGTCAATCAGTTAAGTTCTCCATCCATGGTGCTATTTTGAACAGACTCCACTTTTCTAGAAATACCACAGTTTTTCAAGGTGGTGCCGAATCAGCCTGTTTCTGGACCCTGGGCCATGACACCTTGTGTTGGCCCCCTCCAAACGAAACAAAAAGAATCGGAGATACACTTTAGACTGCAGGTCAGAGTGGAGATATAGAACAGGAGGCAGACTGCCAGCTCATTCCACAAAAGCGTGATCGAGGATCTTGTCCCTAGATTCGAGACTACGTGCCAAAGAATTGAGACCATCGCTAAGCCGTTCTGTTATGCAATCAACAAAACCGCCAGAACGAACTTGTCCCACACATGGCAAGGGAATTGTGGATGTGTCAAGACATGGCGAGAGTGCTTTTGCAATGGAAGTTGAAACGATTGTGGCAAACAACCGGTGCGCAATTCGGGGAATGGCGATTAAGGCAAAAGACAGGCGATATCGTCAATCATGCCTTTTGGGACGAGCTGGCAGCCTACCCTCTGATTTTGCATCGCTGCTCCAACCTACAATCTGAATCACATCTCCAAGTTATGCCCCTTTGCGAGATTGGGGGCACCACACAGGGGTTATGTTGCACGGCTTGAAAGCGGGTTGTTTTGGAGCCATCCTGAAATGCTTGGCTGAGTGACGTATGTTCACGATGACGCCGCGGAGTTGATACTTGGCCGATCAACTCAAAAGTTTGGAAACACAAATTAGATATAAACTTAAACATTGTCACAATTTTTTGTGAAAACCTGACAATTTAATTTGGGATAGAGGAAGTATGTCAATAACATGAGGGACAATTTTCAATTGAACATTAAGCGGTTGCACGACAAGTCTACAATCAACATACCTGAGCGTACACCCTGGAATGGATGAGCTTGAGGCTCAGCGGTATGGGTCGGGCCCATTGATAGGCAACACAACTCCCCAAGCAAGTTGCCCAGCCGAGGACTGCAACAGCTCAGATGAATTTTCAGACTGACGGTGAATGTTGTCACCAGTCCAACATAAGTGAGGATTCTCACCAACAAGATGGAACATACCACACTATGGATAACCTCCATCCTGAGGAAGGCTTTCGTGAGATGTTCCTACTTGCCATGGAAGACAACATGAATTTCTCTAAGTGGAACAAGAAAGCACACGAAACAGCACTGACCAGCACATGGAGCGACAAGACCTCCACTCAAGAATCCTGTATGAGCACAGGGACATCGCTGCATGCATCCATCCAGCACAACTGCCGTGCAGCTCTCACTTTCACACATTCAACTAGCAACCAGTGGTACTCATAGGGCTGCCAACTGGTGTACTGCAAATTGCACTTGGCCTTGGTGTGATGCAGCGAAAATATGACACAGCGTCATGACCAGTACTTCAATGGATTTTGGTGGTGACACAGCTATGCCCAACCATCAGGGGGTCGATGCACCATCGAATGGGAAAAAAGGGGCAGCAGAGGAATGTTCAGCCCACTGATAGGTAGCTCATCAGTGATGCTATGCACCAATCCTGGTGCCAGCAAGAATTTGTCCCTCAACAAGAGGACAATGGAAAGAAAACTTCTGTATTTAAAACAAAATTGGATCGGCGACCTGACATAACTGGGCTTACAGTCCAGAATTGCAATCACAGGAGCACAATATCCAGAATGGTTAGTCGCAGAGAAGCAGGGAACAGAATCTACCCCTGAAGCAGCCGACGATTCACAGTTCCCTCCCACGCTATCACGCCAAGTAAGATATCACCAAGTATGGACTGGATATGGTGGATAAGGACAGAAACTCAAGTTCTTGTGTGTAACACCTGGCCACGTGTCCTTGCCATGCAGCAGATCAATTCAACAAAGGTGAATTTGTTTTTTGTTGTGTTGGACCAAATGGTAGTTGACATCATACAAGCCTGGACCAGTGGGTAAGCAATGGGTTGTGGCTTCAGATCGGACGTGGATGTGAATATATAGGGATAATTGCTGTAACGACAACAGAGCCTGCACATGCCTCCTTGCACCAGCATTTTGGAAGCTGAATCTCAAAACCCCTTGCCAGTCAGTTGGCCCAGTTGACCTATGCCTTCAAGGGGAGGGGCACCCTTACATGCTTTATGTGGCAAGCAGACCATCACCAGCCAAAGCTCCAAGGTAGAATTTTCCAAGCACATTGAAGCATGGCAATAATTACAATAAAGCACAATATTGACACCGTTTTCACAATTTTAGTACTGTCCACTGTGCAAAAGCACAGTGCTGGTCGCAAGTCAGAGGATGTTGCCAATGCAACACATCTTACAGAAACTACAGAGCCATGTCGCACCACGGCAACGTTTGTACCTGAGTAGATGTGCCATTCAATTTCTTACCATAACAAGTGCATTTGGGGAACTTAGCCACTTACAGACAGTCTTCATCTTGTTTCTTTGAAGCCAGCTTCTGATCTGATCAGAGGTCGATTTTTGCCCCTGTATCAACAGAAATGCAGCAGTAGAGGGATCACCTGGCGGCATTGACAATTTGCTGTGCAGAGAATTAGAAGCTAGCGCTTTTTCAGCAAACTATTCTGCAGATACAGACATCTACCATGGATTGATTCAACCATATCAAACCTGCTGATGACCCTGTGCGACCCTGCTAACAACAGTTTGGAATGCTGCCCAACCACAGCAGAGGCTTGGCTGCATTTGCTTGCACATTGCCACCAAAAGTCCTGCAGGATTCAATGCACAGCCCCTGGACCAATATGGGCGAACTTCATGAATACAAGACTTCAGGGCTGTTGCATGACCCTTGACTTAATTTTTTGTGTTACTGCTGCCATTCAAAGCGGAGCTCTCGAGAGCATGGTGAGTGATGACTGGCTGACAGACATCCGAAACGTTTGTCTGTCCCTTGTCCATTCATTCAGTCGTGTTCGCTTGGCCTTGGCGTCTGCACGTGAAGCTACCGACTGCTCACAGATACAATCACAAAAGCGCTACAAACCACTGTTCTCACACCCAAAGAGTGACATTAGAAGGGCAAACAAGCCCTTTGCCCTGCGGAATAGCAAAAATAGGATATTTACCACCCCAATCAGCCTGAGGCATTTGCACATTGACAACATAACAACAGACTCCCATTGGCGTAATATTGTTGCAACCTTCTTGCACGGGATGGTACTGGCGGCTGGAGTGGAAAGAGCTGACAAACCTTCAGCCAGTGTTCGGATGCGCAGATTGAAAATTGCGCCAAAATGCGACAGCCAATTGGAAACAGTCAGGCAACACCTGCAGCAGTGCTGCATCCTGCAATGCCCCGTCGAGCTGGCCCAGTCTCCCAGTCCCGCGGCACCTCAGGCCCACGTGAGCGGCGCAGCTCGGAGCATCAGGCCGGGATCACAGCCGGTTCCCTGGAAAGGGCACAATGACCTACTTTGCGGCCGCGCCGCGACATGGCGAGCCACCGTTACGCACAGCGACCGCCGTCACTAAAGGCCGCCGTCGCAAAAGGCGCCGTGGATGCCGGAACGAAAGCCACGAATGGCGGTCGGGGCCTTGACAGCACAGCCTATGCTGCCCCAAAAGACGTGTCCGCAATGCAGCTCGCTCACGGTGTCTCGGCGAGCAAACCCGATAAGAACGCACAAATTCGGGACGCCGCCAGTCGAGCAGTGAAGGGAGCGCACTGGACAGTTTGCGCCGCGACATGCTGTCAGCCGCGACTTGCAAGCCAGTCGGAGGCGACCCCGGTTGAAAAGCTAGCCCATTCCCGCCTCGGCGGCAGGACCAGTCGTTCGTTCACCGCTGGGGCCGCCGAGCAGAACGCAGCGGCAATTGCGACGGCGAGGCCGGCGGGGACAACAGGGATCGCCCCAGACGCCCGCAGCAAAGATCGCGGCGCCGACGATCAGCTCAGCGCCTCGACGCCAGGCGGCGAGCAGAGCGGCTGGCCCCTCACCTCTGCCATGACGTCCCCCACCAGCGGCTTGGCGCGATGAGGCTGTGGACTGTGGCAAAGCTCTGCGCAGCGCCGACTGTCGCAGCAGCGTTCGGGGGACCGCTCGTGCTGGCGCACGCGCTGGTCCGCGTGTCGTCTGCGGGGGCAGTCGCTGGGCCTCCCCTCGGGACGGCTGTCTGCCGCCCAGTGCGCAACACAACGGCTCGGAGGTCCGCACCACTCCACACCCCCGGTGGGCTTTTGTCACGGAGGGATTTGCTAATGGCGCCACACGGACCAACGATACGGAGACGGAGACGGAGACGGAGACGGAGACGGAGACGGAGGAGACGATGCCGATGACAGAGCGGGACGGAGACGGGTTAGGATAGGGCGTTTTTGGGAGCTAGGGTTTAAGGTGTGTGTATATTGGGTCTCCACCAACCGGCAGCGGCCCTGTGATTGTTGCTCTGGTTGATTGAGACTCAAATGGGCGAGGCCATCAACGAGTGGCGAGGCATCTAAAAACAGGGATGTGAAGAGAGCGGAGGGGCAGCGGAGGCAACTGGGCCAATTGCGAAGGATGGCGCCAGTGCAGGCACAGTTCAACAATGCTATCGAACACGATGAAAAGCCCCACGCCTCACTGGCGTTCGCCAATCAGCACAGGATCCATGACATTGCACAGGTCTTTCACGAGACCTTCAAGATACCAGTCCTCTCCGTGAAGACTCTCCTGTGGCGTTTGTCAGACAGAAACGGCCCTAACGGGCGCACATCGCACTATTCACTAGTAAATGTGTTGTGGAGCCTGCGGTGTTGCACTTTCTTCTGAAAGCAAGGCTTGCGCCAGAAACT